GCAAAGTACTGATTATAGTGTTGGTTTATATGGCAATTTTATTCATTGTCTAATGTACATGTATGCAGATGATGTTTTTTTTTTTTTTTTTTTTTTTTTTTTTTTTTTTTTTTTTTTTTTTTTTTGCTATCAAAGTCTCCAACAGGTCTTCAACAAAAATTTGACTATCTTGCAAATTCTGTAAGGACTGGTGCTTCACAGCCAATGTGTCCAAAACAAAGGTTCTAATTCTTAATAAAGCAGGTCGTCACATATCACAGGAATTTTTGCTGGATACAGAGCCAATAGAATGTGTTACATCTTATAAGTACTTAGGCATTAATTTCACATCATCAGGGAGTTTCTCTGTGGCACAAGAAGAAATTTATAAAAAAAAAAAAAAAATTTAAAAGCACTAAAAGCTTATTTCACACTTCAGAAGGATTTTTTTGTGTTTAAATCCTGATGTGAAATATTCTACTCGTGTGTTTGGTCATACCATTAAACCTATTCTGCTGTATGGTTGTGAAATGTGGGGTTCATTTAGTACTCAGTCAGCACGTTTCCGTAATATTCAATAAATCTAGATGAAATATATTCTAAAGTTTTGTGCGAAAAACTACAGATTATATTTTGCAGATATACTCTCGGAGTACATAAGAAAAGTGCAAAATGTGCATTTCTTGCTGAATTGCGAAGATTTCTCCTTGGTTTTAATATAATATCACACATGTTGAAGTATTGGCATCGATTAAAAAATCTAGGTCAATCATTTCCCCTTTTGCAAGCAGCATACTTTGCAGATATGTACAATTTTGAAAACAAAAAACCACTTTGGTGTGGTAGTATAAATATGTTATTGAAATATCTTCCAAAATTAAGAAACTTTCAGCACTCAACCATATTTTCATTCACAGCACAATGGAAAAAAACTTTTACAGTTTCATTTTTTGGATATTGGTTCAAGAAGAGAGATTTTTTATCTTATCTGGAAACCTTGATACATACTATAAAATTAAGCAAAATTTGGGTTTTGAAAACTACTGTGGAATCATCATTGTTCGTGGGGGATCAATGTTCGTGGATTTCGTGGGTCACCCTTACCCACGAATTTACATCCCCACGAACAATCTTTTGTCAACGTACTGATTGATTATATATGCCAAATAAACGACCTGCCCACGAAATTACATCCCCATGAACCAATAAAATTTTGCTTGCCCACGAACATTGACCCCCACGAATTTAAATGATTCCACAGTATTTGGCAATTATTTGTAATTTTGATCAGAGAAAGACACTCGCTAAATTTAGGATTTCTGCACACAAACTTAGAATTGAAACAGGCAGATACATGGGCTTATCTAGGACTGCGAGAAATTGTATGAACTGTTCATTTAGGTTGAAGATGAAATACATTTTCTTTTCAATTGTCCAAAGAATGCTTCCAAAAGAAAGTAACCATCCTTGAAAATACAGAGCACTTGTCAATTATTTAATGATTTAACACTGTCTAATAAATTTCTTTGGCTTTTGAACAGTGAAGACTATGATATTCTCTGCATACTTTGTCGGATGCTAAGCTCATGCCCTCAAGATAGATAGATCTGTTTTTTATAGAATTGATCATCATATATCTCATAATGTCATCTTATAGGATTTTATAGATTTATATGCGTTGTTTATGTGTTAATTGCACTAAGCAAGAGTGGATTTGATTTGTCCTGTAGCACCGTCTCTCGTTGCTATTTGCTGTTAATCTATACACAAGTATCTCATATCTTACTCATTTTTAAGACATGAACTCATACAATATTTCTTAAGCAGGGTATGGTTTTCCTTATTATGTTATTGTACTTCAACATATATATGTTACATTGGAATATTGCTCCAGTAAAACTGGACCAATTGATGTCTTTTAGCACCGCCTCTTGTTACTTCTTGCTGTATTTCTTTGTAAATGTATATGTAATCATTTATCTACTGATTTTTATGATTTTTCCCATTATCTTTGTATTTTTAGATGTACAAAGAGCACACGGCGGGTGTGATCGGTTGGCAGGGGATGCTCACTCCTCCATGGCACCTGATCCCAGATCTGATGCTTTGGAGGTCCGTGTTTGCTCTGCTCCTATTTTGTATTGTTTATGGACTTTTGAGCTTGAATACTGTTCGTTTTCTCCATGTATTCCAGTTTGGTTAAGTAAAATTGAGCATAATTTGACCTTGTCTCTTATACATCCGACTGTCTCTTAGTGACCGGGGATCTATGTACTTAAACTACACACCACCGATGTAGCTTATATTCTACTCATAATGTTTCATTCACTATTTTGCATTAATGTTAATTTATAAAAAAATATATATATATATGATTAGTTTACTAACCTTTTAGGCATTTTTTTTTTCTTTTCTTTTTTTCAATGTTTATGTCTAGTCCTCATAATACATTATACAAACTGAACTCCAAGCTACATTGTATCTAGTCTTCATTATACTATTATACAAACTGAACAATGAGCTAATTAGTTACATATAGATTGTACTAATGTGTTTAATGTGTATTTAAATGTAATCAAAATTCTTATATATGTCATGTCCCATGAAGCCCTAATTTGGAAATAAATTCTATTCTATTCTACTAAAAAAAAATATATAAAAATACACAGTAAATACATATTCAACATATTAGTAGTATTTAATATATATAGAGAGAGAGAAGGCAAGGCGAGTAAAATGTTATAAAGTAATTTAATTCCCACATCTGTCAACAGCTTCGATAGCGTAGTGATTGATTGATTGTATATTGTTTTACGTCCCATTCGAGAATTTTTCACTCATATGAAGACATCACTATATACCGGTGAAGGGCTTCAAATTTAGACCTTCATGCGACACTCAGGGCCATTGAGCAGTGAGGGTTCTTTATCGTGGCAACGCCTACCGTGACAAGGGGCCTCGGTTTTTAAGGTCTCATCCTCAGGACCCGCTTCAAAGTGCCGAGCGCTTGGCGAAGGATTAGTTACTATCTATTTTTCATCGACTTAGGTCAGTCGCGGCCGAGATTCGAACTCACGACCTCCCGATCACAGAGCGAGCGCTCTACCGACTGAGCTACATGTACCTTGACAGCCGATAGCGTAGTGAGATAAGTGTCTGCCTATCTTGATGAGGGAACCGGGATCGATTCTTAGTGGCTCCGCTACGATTTTTTTCTTGATATGAAAATAAACTTAGAAAAGGAGAATTTGAACATAGCAAATACCGTTTCAATGTAATTTGCAACTCTCCATTCCTGAAAAATAATGGAGAGCTTAAACAAAAGAGTGAAGTCAGAAGTGGATTGCAACTATATTTCTCTGAGAACGAAAGCCCGGAAGGGTCAAATAGGCTTTCGTATCTTAGTAAAAAAAACTGTTTTATAAGAAACATTCCTGATCGGCAAGACAGTATTTTGTGTACTTTAAAATGAAATATATGGATGTAACGAACAGTATTCAAGCTCAAACGTCCATTCAAACAATACAAATCAGGAGCCAAAAAAAAAACACTGACCTGTAAAACATCAGAGGTGGGATCAGTTGTCATGGAGGAATGAGCATCCGGTCCCCTGCAATCGGTCACACCCGCAATGTGCTCCTTGTCATGATCGGGAAATAACGGGAAAATCCGTTGACAATTAGTGTGTAAATAATGGCCTAAAAATTAGTATAAAAACGTCAGTCAGCATTTGACTTAGTGATAGATTGTATTTGCTGACAAGGTCATTGTATCGACCATAGAACTTACGAAATGATGACTTTAAACGAGACTGTTGATATTCTTGTATTGAATATTGAATCAACTGAGAGATTTAAACTCCATATGCAGATGATGAGGGTAAGGGAATTTGACGATTGTAAAGTTAAAGTCATCACGTTTATACTAAGCTTTGTTGTTATATTACTATTAAGGTCTTTTTCTAACAAAATATTCAAATATGAAACAGATGTGTCAGACTCTGTGGTATCTTTTATGTCAAGCTTACTGGGATATATCGTGTCGACATATGAATAGAAATAACTATTGTTAATTGATAATACGTTCGTCGATATATCTAAATGTCAAGTTGAATGCCACAGCAAGAGTTTAATTTTTCTCATGATTTTGAATAAATTCTGCTTCATATGAATACAAAAATATATCTGCTAATAATGGGACGCAATTGGTACCTATGGGAATTCCAACAGATTGTTGGAATACCTGCTCTCCAAAAACCACATATATAGATATTGTCAATCAGGAACTCAAGCATCTTTTTAATATCAACTTCAGAGTACTTGTGTGTACAATCAGAATTTTTTTTAACAAAATAATTTTGCAAATGACCAATGACAAAGTAAGTAAATTTACGAGTTCAATTTCGCACAAAACAAATTACTCAATACCGTACTCAAAAGTCTGTACAACAACATAACAGTATTGGCATTTCCGGTGACTAGAGACATAAATAGCAGGAATATTTATGCCCCTGTTGTCTCTTTAGTATGGATTAATTTTTTTTCGAAAAAATTATCATCAAATTATTTTTTACAGCTGACACCGGTTTTTACCCTTGACTCCAGTCGCTGCCGCTAGGAAGTACACATGTATAAGTTTGTTTTTTTTTTTTTAAAGAGCGCTCGTGCTCGTTAACCAGTGCTAGGAAACCAGTCAATAAATGTCTCAAGTAGACAATTTTTTGCGCACATATAGAAAATTTGTTTCGAACAGCGTGAAACATGCATATATATCACAAAGAAATTGTTTTTAATTTTATTTTTCGATATTAGCATATTCATTAATATGAAAGGCAAAGGATCGAGTGATCTTTTCTGATTGAAGTTTACCAGTCGTTCATCTGTTTACTCTCACTTTGTTGACCTTTTCTCCAGAAACAATGTGCCAATTTCAACCAATATGGCATTCCTTCCAACGAAGTGTCATTCCCCTTCCAAGAGAAGATAATCAAGGAAAGGAAAGGTCATTTAAAAGTGTACCCTAAAGAATCACTGAGCTACACAAGATAAAACTTAATGTATAACATCGACATTACTGTAAGTAAAATATGCGTCGGCCTTAAAAAAATATGTTGAGTTTGTATATAGCGTGTTGTTATAATTATTTTTTATAAACCGAGAAGGTGAAGGTAGGGGTAAAATATCAAGTCAATTGAAAATATCATTATCACTTGTGCAAAATATTATCATGTACGATGCTAAGCGCTTGGATATGATTATTTTAAGAAAGAATTAAAACTCGTTTGACTTTTTTTTCCGTTTTAGATAAAAACAGAAAAACAGATGGCTATTATAAGTTATGCAAACGCACACAGATCCTCTGGAATATGTTTCCATCTGCGACATGTTGATTTTTCAAATACATCCTTAAGTACAGCATCAGGGATCATGCAAGCTCACATCAATGAGATGCTTGAATATCTTGATTCAAAAATGGAAATAGAAGAGTTTACTGTTGGAAAGACACACACTAGGTCGAAAAGTAATCGGTATTTTCCGGTCAATGACGTTGACTCTTGGAATCTATCGGGAATTCGTTCAGCTTGGAAGAGATTCAGGGAACTGGGATTTCATAACCTTATTGTCGTGTCTGTCGTAGATGAGAACAGAATTCCTCTGCTGAATACATTATGGCCAAGCAATGACACTGAAGATTTTACCATTGCACTGAATCAGAAATTGATCCATTATTATAAAATCACCAAAAAGGACAAAAGACTACGAAATCAAAACTTTGGAGAAGGAGCAAGAAAAGTTCACTCACAGCATGGTGTGTTATTCATCGCAATTAAATACAAAGAGACAACGCGAGATCAATCTAACCCGTGGCTTGACCTTCTGTCCTGTTTTGGATTACTTTTGTCTATAATCGTGTTTGGGGTCATAGATATTATGTGTTACATGCTGAAGCTGTGTATCGGAAAACAGAAAAAATCCCGTAGGAAAAAAGTTAAAAATCTGTCCTTTTTTTAATTTTTTATTTTACCGAATAACAAAACAAAGCGTGCCATAATTTGCTTACAGGTGAATTATTTATGTAATGATGGACTATTTTAATTATTCTATATATATGGTCATTTTGACACCCCCCCCCCCCAATCTATTGCAAGTTAGCAGCAAAAGACCATTCTCTGCCTCCATTGACTCTGCATGTATGTTTAGTGTTTTAGTTCTAGAGAAGTTTAGTTTTTTGTTCCATAAATACTTTAATTGCTCTGTAAAAATCAAATACATTTTTTGGCAACTTTATCGTCTATACTTTCGCTTTGACATATATATTCCATTTTTTTTACCAGTGTAAAGTTTAAATTGAATCAATTTAGTGAGCACTAGATATTATATGTATCTTATTTTAAAACGCAAATCGTGGGTTGTTTTGAAACTTAAACATGGTTGTTGCAAATTGTATTTCATATACAAACTGTGTATTGAAAATCAGGAGGAAAATCAAAGAAAAGATGCTTTATCTAGGATGCTTTCAGAAGGCTAGCTAGTAACAAAGTTTGAAAGGACAGAGATCGATGTAAATTCATATGACATGAAAATCCACGAAGACTAAAAGGACTTCAAGAACGGAAGATTTTCTTGTTGAAATGGAGACTAGATAATGTAGCAAACTCCTCAGAAAAGTGTCCGATCTATGGTTTTAGAAATAGATGCTAGCAATATCAGCATTTCTACTGCATGAATATTGAACTTTGAAATAAAATATGTTATCAACGTTAAAATTTCTCAATAACAATGCCTCAAGAAAAGAGTTTAACTCCTGCATTCGTTGGCATGGATCTCAAGAGAGAGAGAGAGAGAGAGAGAGAGAGAGAAGCAACTTTCTCTTTTAGTTCAATTAGGGGAGACCATACATGTATATAACATGCAATAAGAGCTTTTGATTTTATAAAATTCAACGAAACAAAAATATTATGACGCAATTAAGAAATTTCGCTAATTTTCATTAATGGTGGAGATTTCATTCAGTGTATTATTTTTTATGATAGTAATACATAATAAGTCTAATGGATACATGCATTAAATTGATGAAAAGACTTCTCTGTATCGTTTCCTTGTGTTCGTCAATTTGCAGACTCAGAATGACACATATATTATGAAACAGCCTCATATTATTGCTTGCAATATCATACATTCTAGTTCTTGATCCATTTTATCATTTGTTTCATATTTTGATATTCCACTGATTATAGACGTTTATGGCCAATTATCAAACGGGATGACTTCAGAAGTCTCTAAAACATCAGGTAATTCTTATTTAAATTGTAAGGCACTTTTGCTATAGGTCCGAAAATTACATGTATGTTCACTGTTTGAATCATTTGCTAAAAAAAGGCATTCGGACGCAACTTAATTAACCGTTAGATAGAAATTGTAAACAATTCTCTCTCTCTCTCTCTCTCTCTCTCTCTCTCTCTCTCTCTCTCTGGAAAGTTTGAGCGAAATAGAAAATCTTTTTTAAACAATGATACATAAGTCAAATCAGAATGTAAGCATTTCCACATAGTGTACATTGATGTCGATTAAAGTTGTAAATCCATCATAAAAGACATTTGTGAGATTTAATGAGAACAATAGATCATCGTTATATCTTCAATTTACCTCAGGTGAGCATTTTAAACCACGGGCCTCTTGATTTATTTGTTTATCTTCCCCAAAATATATCCTTAACAAAATCTACCAGGGGTCATGTTTCTACGGGGGTCATTTTTCTTCACGTAGGGTATGCAGATTTTAAGGGTGATGCCACTTTTCTAAAGGCAAAAGGGTCATTTTTCTGCGTCGAATAATGACCAGGGGTCATTTTTGGACGTCGAAAAATGACCCCCGGATATTATTGAACGGTGATCATTATTCGACTTAACACCGGGCGCTTAGCTAAGGAACAGTTTGACGCGGCGAGTCGAACCTCGGGCGTCGAAGTAAAGCGAACGACCTACCACTAGGCTACCGCGATTCGTAAAAGTTCAACTGTGCCTTTAGGTTAAAATATTAATCTACTAATTGGTAATAAAAAGGCTTCTAGCCCAAGGGTTTTATGGTGTACGCAATGCCTATATCATTAGTTACATTGTCTAAAGGTTTATTAGTACTGTAAAACCGTGCTTAAATCTGATGATTCCAGAACAAATAGAATTGAACAATCAACAATTGGCAATTCTTTTTTATTATATGCCATTTTTTGGCAGGTCGTATTATGATATAAGCTTTACTTTACCTCCGTCTGTCTGTCCGTCTGAGATCTTTTTCTTGTCTGGTCGTATCTTTCATTCTGTGAGGCCTACTTTGGAATCATTAGATTTCGTGGTGGCTCAATTTTCGTGGGTAACTTTCATTCACGAATTAACACCCTCCACGAATTAATAAACGCTGGTTGCAATGTTTTATTTCCTTTTGTAGGTGTAAAGAAATACACAAAATTATGTCCCAACGAACCTGTAAAATTTAAGCAATCCACGAAAATTGGCCCCCATGAATTTTAATGATTCTACAGTAACTCCACAAAACTTGGTCACGTGATGCACATTAGAGGTAAGTTGGTTATCGCATCCAAATTAGGTCACTTTTGCCTTATTGTAGAATGTTACAGCTATACACAATCAAAATTGTGTTTGGTCAGATCTGGCAAACTATGAAGTCTGGGACCAATAAATTTTGCCAGTTGATGCATTTTAGGGGAAGGTGTCACCATGACGTCAATTTAGAATTTCTATGCCATTCATAGTGAAATCATGCCTGTATCTTGTCTTGCACATTGAAAAGCCTAGAATCATCCAACTTTATTAGTTGATACATTTTGGGGGAAGGTGTGCTGCTACCCAAAAGAGATCACCATTGTATTATTTTGAAATCTTAAAGCTATGCATAATCATAATGGTGTTTGGATCCTATCTAGCAATGGATCACATGCATCTTTTGGCTATGAATATGCATAAATAGATATGCGTCATGTACATCTACTGCTAGACGGGAATATGATGTACCCTTTTGGGGTACTTTATAAATAAAGATAACGAACAGTGATCAAACTCAAAAATTCAATAAAGAACCATGAACAGGGCAAAGAACGAGGACCTTTGTTTTGTATACACCTGACTAATCATTAAAAAATTGCTATTTAAAATCATTTCCGATACGTTGCAATGTCTCTGTGTCGGATGATTATGGTCATAGGGTAAGATACATAAGTGATTTCTTACAGCAAGTTGCAACGTTTTAAAACAAATTGTATTCCAGTATAGAATAATTATATATCAGTGCAGATACACGTATAAACTTGCAACTTGAAAGTTTTACTAGAAATAATTTACTCAATAAAGATAATTGAGTCCAGTTATCGAAACAATACAACATGATCTTGATTACAACTATACTTAAATATTGCATATTTAAGAAATGTTATTGCCCCAAAATATCTACTTACAACTTTGGGATTTTTTTATTTATCTTTTTTTATTTTATTTTATTTGTTTATTTATTTATTTATTTATTTATTTATTCATTTATTTATTTTGTTAAATAGAACTCTAATAATTTCACCTTTTGTTGAATTGATTTTATAATACATTCTATAAGTCGGCGAAAGACATATATATTTATATATAAGAATTTTTTTCTGATTCAAAACTTACATATGTAGCATAAAGTATGTATATTAACAAATCAAGGTTTAAGTATTTTTTTTTTCGAGTTGGATGAAATACTTGACAGCTTTTTGGTCAATATGGGTGGTTTTGTATCCAATCTCAGATGAATCAAGAGATACGACTGAGCTATTTATAATGCCTTCCAAAACTTATTCGGCATTTAAATCAGCTTGAAAATTGATTGCAACGCTTTGTGTATAACGACATTTTAGAGCCCCCCCCCCCCTTCCTCATTCCCTATCGATAGATAATAAATGTCAACAGATATTCTTTAAAAAATAATAATTTAATTAAATTAATATAAACAAAATCATTTTTGAAAAAAGAACATGTTTCTTTAGGTTATCGATACAAAATCTTCTTAATAATACAATAAACTTCAACTTCATTTTTTTTCCTAACTGGTCCTTCATTCATGCATGTTTCTAGTACAAGTGTAGTCCATCGACAATCTTTTATATGCCAATCTTACTAATTTGAATTATAGCATTTATTTTCATTGTCTGACGTTATTCCTTTCTCAATTTAGAAAATAAAGCAATAAATGGATATCATAACTTATGCAAACGCACACAACTCAACTGGAATATGTTCCTACTTACAACATATAGACTTTTCATATACATCCCTTGATACAGCTTCAGGGATCATGCAAGCTCACATTGATGAGGTGCTTGAAGATCTTCATTCAAAAAAAGAAATAGAGACGTTCACAGTTGGAAAAACGCATACTAGGTCAAAAAATAATTGGTTTTTTCCAGTCGATAACATGAACTCTTGGAATCTATCGGGAATTCGTTCAGCTTGGAGGAGATTCAGGGATGCTGGATATCATAACCTTATCGTACTGTCCGTCATAGATGAGCACCAGTTTCCTCTGCTGAATGCTTTATGGCCAAGCAACGACACTGAAGATTTTACCATTGCACTGAAACAGAAATTAATCCATTATTATAAAATCATCAAAAAAGACAAAAGACTACGAAATCAAAACTTTGGAGAAGGAGCAAGAAAAGTCCACTCACATCATGGTGTGTTGTTCATCGCCGTTAAATACAAAGAGACAATGGATGATCAATCTAACTGGTGGCATGCCTGCCTGTGTTGTTGTGGAATTATGTGTTTTTTGGGATCTGGGGAGTTTATGGTCTTTGGTATTCTCCTTCTCATATTTATACTGTGTTTTAGAAAAAATTTTGAAGGGAAGAATAAATAGTTTGTCTTTTATGAATTACCTAATTGTCGAAAATCATAAATCTAGGTTTAAGAATTGTTGTAATTTTATAAGTGTAATAAATGTTTTCTCGTTGTTTCCTATAATACGTCTGTTTAGTGATTGGCTATAGATAATCCTTTGCTTGTTTACAAAATACATCAAGAGCACTGTTCAGTCATTGTTCTTTTCCTATAATTATTTACCTATAATAATTCAAGATTCTTTCTGAAATAAAGATTTAACTCAATTGTCTTTTTTAAAAAAAAAAAAAAAAAAAAAAAAAAAAAAAAGAAGAGATTGCAACTAAGTAAGTTCTCAAAGGATAAACTGAAATTTATGTAAAAAGAATCACACAAAGAATAGAATGTAATATTGTCTATGACTTCATAAGGTAAATTCTTTCCATTTTCAAAAATCGCATTGGTCTTACTTAATTGAGGTCTGTCACCAGTTTCCGTCATATATTTATGACTAACTTAAAAGGGGGCATATTGTTTTGCATATGTCGATCGATCGGTGGAACACGTGTTGTCCGATCAATACACTGAAAACCCTTTGTTTGACTGACATCTAACTTTGTACACTGGTTCCCTCTAAGGAGTAGGTACATACACATGATCCTTTTTGATTGCGAGGACATAAGATCATAGGCCAAACGGCTCAAGACATGGGAAGATATTTTGGTCAATAAAACCCTGTGCTTGACAGACAACAAACTTGATACATTGGTTCCACTTAAGAACAAGCAAATTCAAATGTGGTCCCCCGCTTTCGATGTCTTAGTTTATGGGATGCCATTATTAACGGCATATTGTAACTGCCTTGTTTGTGTGTCCTGTACTGTCTATGCATCGTACAAAAAGACATAAATTATTGAATTAATAACAGTTATTGCAAAGATTATAGCTTCTTAAAACTACATCAAACTTCAAGATCAAGGTTATGAGGTCAAATATAATACAATTCATGCTAAAGGTC